ATATAAGTTAAAAATAGAACTAATTATAAATAAGATTAATTAATATAAATTACTTATTCACCTGATTTAGTAGTGATTAGTGATTATTACACTATGTACTACAGCTGCACCATATATTGCGTCACATCTACTGCACTACATAAATAGGTGATTAATTATAATATAAAAAATATCATGTAATTCTTAAATTTTTTTATATTAGTAATAGATATCATTATCAAAGTTCTAAATAACTTCAACTACCAGTATAAAGCTAATAATAGTAAAATATTAATTAAAATCACAACTCTTATCTATTTTATCATAATTAAAAATATCATTTAAATTATATTAATTAATTAATTATTTTTTGCAATTTGATATATTTTTTATCCAGAATTTCTATTAATATACTTTAATCTTCTCTTAATTTTAGATATGGATATATATAATATTTCTTCTTAAATTTATTTAGTTATCTATCTAATATTTTGAAATTTTTAATTTCAAGAATATCTCTAAAGATATATACTTTTTGCTTTATAATATCTTTATTAATGATTAAGTTATCTTATAATACTTAAGTAATTCACATAATTAAAGCTTCTTCTAACTTGAGAAAAGAAACTTTTTCTTGTATATTTCAGATGAAGTTATATTTATTAAGAACTATCTATTTCTATTTAACAGAATATCAAAGATAATACTTTATTTTATACAATACTTAGTTACAAAAACAATTTGAGAAGATTTTAGTTTTTCACAATACTTTTTACATATCTCATATTTCTGAGCTAATATTAGATTTTTACTAAATTTTTAATAATTAAAAATATACTTACTTTTGTATTTATAATTTTACAATATTATATAAAAAGTTATGTTGGTATAATCTCTAATTAATATTAATCAATAATATTATAATATTTAATATTATGTAATAGATAAAGCTTTGCTATTAATTAGTATATTTAGCTTAAATTCTTATATAAATATGATAAAATAATATTAGTTATCAGAATTGTATGATATTATATGAAATATCAATTTTCTGAGTGAATTTTATTTATATATGTTTTGAAAATTAGAAAAATTATCAGTTTTGATATTTATTAATTTTTCAAGTATCAGTTTTTCAAGCTTTGACTGTATATATAAAAATTATATATATATGTAATAAAAAAACTTATATATTTGCTGATTATATTAGATAATAAATAAATATCTCTAATTTTAGCTTAAATAAACTCTCACAAAATTCACTATTAAAATGTCATCAACTACTTGTGAATAAAAGATATATAGCTTATTATATTATTGGAATAAAAATATCTGTTTTGTACCTGAACTATTCAAACTGATTTTTAATCCTATAAAAAATTTATGGATCATTATTAAGAGTAAATTTGAGAAATAAATACCAAATTTTATTCCAAAAATCATTCTAAATAATTTAATAAATTTGATAAGATTTTATTATAAGTTAGTTATTGAAAGCAAAGATCAATGAATCAATTTTTGAGCCTAATAAATTTTATTCTGTAACTTTTTTACTTTTAAATGATATATTAATTATCAAATTTAATGCAATATTCATAAATTTATGATGAATTTAATATAGTTAAGTTTTTTTGTCACATACTGCACCTATATGTGTTCGCCTATGATTTTTTGGTTTCGATACATTATTTCCGGAACCTAACGTAGGTGGAGATATTTTAGTGATGGTTCGTCCTCATTGCTATTACTATCCCAGCCCAAGTCATAATCAGCAAAAAGAAAGTCAAATTTTCGTTTTTATTTAATCACTGTACTATGGATATAAAAACAACGCTATGACAAACTCTGGCGATAACTAGGAGATTTTCATGAGCCAGGAGGTTTGATCTAAAGTTCCCGCTTGTCCTTGTTTAATATGGACAATCAATTTTAATTCTGGGAATGTTAATTCTCCACCTTTAAATTCTCCAAGCGGACAAACCACGCAGAGGGTATTACGATGGTCCTTCATATCCCTGTGAAATTGGCAGATCACATTAAAATTAACGGCAATTGTAGGGAAAGTTCCAAAGGATTTTGGGACGTTGGGACCAAGATCGAGTTTCTTCATCTTCGTAGATAAATTAGGATACGTAGTTTCAAAGTAATTGTTAACCAAATTTGAAAGTGGTTGGAGGCCTTGAATCAAGTTTTTTACACATTCCAGATGCGTTTTATGATGAGAGAAAGCGGTGTTTGACGTGGTATATGGTAAATTATTACTATTGGCCATACTTATATAAAAAGTAAATGCCCGAACTATGAGCGAAACTTTATTAATATTCAGGATCAAGAAATTCGGTAACAAAAAACAGCTAAAAAATCACTTGCGAAAGTTTAAATTTACTTGATGAACATATCGAATTTTATTTTTATTTTCCGAATGAGAATCACAGAACTTACGTAATTAAAATAAGATATGACTTTCCTAATCAGAAAGTGCAGGAGGCGGAATTTTTAAAACGGGGACATGAACTTTGTGGGGAGATGAGTTCGATTCTCTGTGGTATGACTGACCAGTGGGAGTAGACGGTCTATTCAATTCATCAATGGAATGATCAATGCATTTCTGATTAACAAAAAATAATTAGTTATAATATGTGTGATTTCTTGAATTATAGATACATTATCAACGGACTTACCAGTAAACTATATAGATTTGCAATAACCGGAACTATGGTCAAAAAATTAGCAACTTCTGTGGGCAACAACACTTTTCCAATTTGCTTAAAGCGATATAAGCCATCAAAGGCTATATCCATACTAAATAACCTAATACAACTCCCTGTCAAATTATAACTAATTAGCTTGGATGTTACCTAGTTAAGCAGTAGTAAAATTATGATAGTAATAACTTACCACCAATAATAATCCCAAATGTTTCAAAAGTTGGAGAATATCCAAATTGCTTATGAAGAGAATCCAACGATCCCTTCATAAATTCTGCAAGTTTGATTAACGTTTGATTTACTATACTATTCGAAGCGCTCGGAGGTTTTATTTCTCCAAATGCAATTTCATATTCCTTATTAAAAAGAACCCGGAGATCTGGTTTCCTTCCATGTTTGTGGTCATTAGATTTCCGTCGTTCCTTCGAACTATTAGACTCGCCGTTGGCCCTGATTTCATAAGTTTAGAAATTAAGTATTCATGTATATTGA